TTGCTCGCAAAAAGGGTGCAAGCACTTAAACCAGATTTCAGGTCCCTGGACTCAGGACAGGACTCATTCTGGTCTACGCTGATGTCTGTGCAAGCACTTTTTTTTTTTTTTTTTTTTTGGTATGTGTGCGCTCATTCCCTTCTTCTTTCATTTTTCCCAGTTAGAAACCATGTCCAAGAGGTGATATGCTAATATAGAGCATTGAATACCCAACCAGCTGACTCAGTGCTTCATTGGCTTGCTTATTATTATCTGCTTCTTCCCAAACAGTTGGTAGTTTCCTCGAGGGCATGGCAATTTCCTTCCTTAGGTCCTTCGTTAGTACAGCCCAGATGTAGGCACAGAGCAGTAGCCACATCTAAAGCCAGGGATGTGGTGGGGAATTGAGACTGGGGGAAGGACGAGAAGGAAGTGAGAGGGACACCTTCACAACAACAAGAATTTAAGGACCCCAGCTCCTTTCTGCCTTGCTATGTCCCTTGTGCCTAAAGCAGCGTCTGCCCACATGTCAAAATTCATACGGCTGTTCGATAAATACACAGCTAAATTCACCGATAAAAATAACATTGGGTCTGAAAGAAATTATTTTTAAGTTTATTTATTTATTTATTTTGAGAGGCAGAGAGACAGAGCAGGGGAGGCGCAGAGAAAAAGGCAGAGAGAGAATCCCAAGCAGGCTACGCACTGTGAGCCCAGAGCCCAGGGAGGGGCTTGAACCCACGAACTGTGAGATCATAGTCTGAGCTGAAACCAAGAGTCGGACGCTTAACCGCCAGGAGCCACCCACGCGCCCCTAGAAAGACATTTTTATGAAAAAATAACGTATACAAATTAATTGGGTATAAAGAATTAAGCTGTAATGCTAAAAGTGCAAGGGATGGGGAGTCGTTTTTAATAGTATTCGATAGAAGCATCATGCTACCCAGGTTTCTGCTCAATGGGAACACATTTTTAGCTCTATCACTAGACAGGATGCTGGTTTTCTCTCATAAAAGGGATATAAAGTTCCTTGCTACACATAGCAAGCAAAACACTGATCCTTCATAGTGAAAACAGGACAATAAACCCAATAAAGAAAACCCAGTTATTCAAAGCTCAGTGTGGCTGTCAGTGGCCCCTCAAACACATCTATGTCCAAATCTCCAGAACTATGAATATATTCGTTTCTTTTTTTTAATTCTTTAATGTTTATTTATTTTTGAGAGAGAGACAAAGAGTGAGTGGGGGAAGGGCAGAGTGAGATAGGGAGACACAGAATCTGAAACAGGCTCCAGGCTCTGAGCTGTCAGCACGGAGCCTGATGTGGGGCTCAAACTCGGGAACGGCAAGATCATGACCTGAGCCAAAGTCGGATGCTTAACCAACTGAGCCACCCAGATGCCCCGAATATGTTAGTTTTTAATAGTGTTAAAATAGCAAAAGGAAAGAAGATTGCAGGTGGAATTAACCCACTGACCTTAAAATGAGGAGATTATTCTAGATTAGCCCGTGAGTCTGATGTAATCATAAGGACCCTGAATATGGAAGAAAAGGGCACAGGTGTCACTGCCGGCAAATGAACTGTGAGAAACACTTGATGTGGCTTTGAAGATAGAGGAAGAGAGTCCTGAGCCAAGGAAGGCAAGCAGTCTCTAGAGGCTGAAAAAAAGGCAAGCAAAGGGATTCTCTCCTAGAGCCTCCAGAAGGCATGCAAACCCCTTTTGGACTTCTGACTTCCAGAACTGGAAGAGAAAAACCTGTGTTGGTTTAAGCCACCAAATGTGGGATGATTTGTTCCCGCAGCAATAGGAAACTAACACCCTCAGTTTAAAACAGAGCCGTAGAGGGGCGCCTGGGTGGCACAGTCGGTTAAGCGTCCGACTTCAGCCAGGTCACGATCTCGCGGTCTGTGAATTCGAGCCCCACGTCGGGCTCTGGGCTGATGGCTCAGAGCCTGGAGCCTGTTTCCGATTCTGTGTCTCCCTCTCTCTCTGCCCCTCCCCCGTTCATGCTCTGTCTCTCTCTGTCCCAAAAATAAATAAACATTGAAAAAAAAATTTTTTTTTAAACAGAGCCGTAGTGGGGTGCCTGGGTGGCTCAGTCGGTTGAGCTTCAGACTTCGGCTCAGGTCCTGATCTCACAGTCTGTGAGTTCAAGCCCCGCATCGGGCTCTGTGCTGACAGCTCAGAGCCTGGAGTCTGCTTCAGATTCTGTGTCTCCCTCTCTCTCTGACCCTCCCCCATTCATGCTCTGTCTCTCTCTCAGAAATAAACATTAAAAAAACAAAACAGAGCCGTAGAATCACAAAACTCTCTGTGCGACACTCAACTCACTCTGAGTATGTACATAATGAAAGAACAAGGAACTGTTACAGATCGAAGTGTGCCACCCCAAAGTTCATACACTGAAGTCCTAGCTTCCGGTACCGCAGATCGTGACTTTACTTGGAAATAGTCTTTAACAGAGGGAATAGAGACATAAAAGGAGGTCATTAAAGTGGGCGCTAATCCAATATGACCAATGTCCTTTAAAAAGGGGGAAATTTGGAGACACCTGGGTGGCTCGGTTGAGCATTGGTCTCTTGGTTTTGGCTCAGGTCATGATCTCATGGTTTGTGGGTTCAAGCCCTGCCTCGGGCTCTCCACTAACAGCACAGAGCCTGCTTGGGATTGTCTCTCTCCCTCTCTTTGTCTCAAAAGGTGGCTCGGAACCTTCTTGGGACTCTCTCTTTCTCCCTCTCTCTGCCCCTCCCCCACTTGCAATTACACACACGTGCTCTCAAAATAAACATTATAAATACATAAATAAATAAAAAGAAAGAAATTTGAAGACAGACTCATCTGCAGGGAGAATGCCATACCAACATAAAGACCGCCATCTACAAGCCAAAGCAAAGGGTCTGGAATAGATCCTTCCCTCCCAGCGCTCAGAGAGAAGCAACATGGCTGTTGATTTTAGACTTTCAGCCTCCAGAACTGTGAGACAATACATTTCTGTTGCTTAAGCCACTCGATTTGTGGCCCTTTGTTAGAGCAGCCCTAGCAAGCTAATAGTGATGAAGACACTAAAGGAAGAGTGTATGATTATCACGGAAGCAACACAGGCGTGTGGTCCTAAAGCATTTTGTTTTATTGTGCTTCACAGGTATTGCAGGTTGTTTTGTTTTGTTTTGTTACAAATGGCAGGTTTGTAGCAACTTTGCATTTTTTTTTTCAAGAACACTTGCTCATTACGTGTCTCTGGGTCACATTTTGGCTAATTCTCACAATATTTCAAACTTTTTTATTATTATTGTATTCGTTATAGTGGTCTGCCATCAGCGATTATGACTCTCTGAAAGCTCAGATGACAGCCTTTTTTAGAAAAAAAAAAAGTATTTGGGGGGCGCCTGGGTGGCTCACTCAGTTAAGCGTCCAACTTCAGCTCAGGTCGTGATTTCGCGGTTAAGTTCGAGCCCCGCGTCAGGTTCTGTGCTGACAGCTCAGAGCCTGGAGCCTGCTTCAGATTCTGTGTCTCCCTCTCTCTCTGCCCCTCTCCTGCTCACACTCTGTCTCTGTCTCTCAAAAATAAATCAACATTTTTAAAGAAAGAGAAAGAAAGAAAGAAAGAAAGAAAGAAAGAAAGAAAGAAAGAGAAAGAAAGAATTTTTAATTAAGGTATACACATGGCTTTTGTAGACATATTACACACTTAACGGGCTACAGTACAGACTAAACATAACTTTTGTTTGCACTGGAAAACCAAAAATTTCATCTGACTCACTTCATTCCAATATTAATTCCACTTTAACGCAGTGGTCTGAAGGGAAACCCACAATATCTCCAAAGTATGCCCATAGAGTTGACCCTTGAACAACACAGGGTTTAGCGACACCGATCCCCTGTGCAGCAGAAAACAGGGGTAAAACTTCTGACTCCCCCAAAACTTAACTACTAATAGCCTACAGTCGACCTTACCAATAACATAAACAATCGAGCAACACTGTATGTGTATGATATTTTGCATATCACATGTATTATACGCTGGATTCTTAGAATGAAGTCAGCTAAAGAAAAGAAAGCACCATTAAGAAAATCGTAAGGAAGAGAAAACACATTTACAGTACTGTACTGTACTTAGTGAAAAAATCCATGCATAAGTGGACCCACCTAACTCAAACCCGGGATGTTCAAGGATCAATGGTATCTCCCCACGTCTCACTGAGAGACCCAGATGGCCCCTCGCTGAGTGTTAGGAGTACTGAGGAGGGTCAATCAGGTCGAAGTCACCATTTCCAGGTGCATTTCACTGTGTGTGTGTGAGCTGCACATTACAGGAGCTCTGGTGCTTGATTCCCACAACCACTGATGGTTCTCGCTAAGTAGCAGGAAGAAAGCTTGGTCTGAAATGTATGAGAAACTCAGATGGCATGGGGATTCCTAACAGAAAGACGCCACAGTCACAGAAACCAAAGGGTCGCCTGGGTGGCTCAGTCAGTTAAGCGAGGGACTTCAGCTCAGATCACAATCTCACTGGTTGGTGAGTTCGAGCCCCGCGTTGGGCGCTGTGCTGACAGCTCGGAGTCTGAAGCCTGCTTCGGATTCTGTGTCTCCCCCTTTCTCTACCCCTTCCCTACTCGTGCTCTGTATCTCTCTGTCTCTCAATAATAAATAAATTTAAAAAATCTTTTTTCAAAAAAGAAATGAAAGGGAAAAAGGAGACAAATGGGGATGACATTGCCAGGTAGGTAGAAGGGAAAGAGACACAGAAAAAGAGAAGACAAATTCAGAAGAAAGCAAAAATCCGGTCAACACGGAACAGCATATCACATCGTACAATCATAAAAACATAAAAGTCAAAATCCACAAGATGTTCCTTCCAAAGAAATACAGGTTCGTTCACCTGGTGATCATTGCCCGTTCAGATAAAATTCGAACCGCCTCTCACAACCTTCCCACTCTTGGCCTTCTCCCCCCTTTCCGTCCCAAACGCCCAAGCTATCCACCTCCCCCCCCCCCCACCCCTGAACCCCAGTTCACTACCGTGTCCCTCCTCCGGCCACTCTGCTCTCAGATGGAACCGGCCCAGCCAGGGGGGTAGAAAATGATCGGTTTGGATGTGACAAGGTGTGCCAGCCTCAAGGAAATGCTTTTCAGTCCCTCCTTCCCACTGTGGGGCGTGGCTGCCCGCAAAGGATGGAGTTGGGGCGGGCTCCCCACAAGGGGAAGTCTGCGGGCAACTGAGGTTTCCGGGACTCACCGCGCACCAGCCAGCAGGAAACCTCTGCCGAAGCTGTAAAAGCTGCACTTGCTGCTGTTCTGCTTACTGTGTTCCTCCTCTAGAGATCGCTACATGGTCCGTTGTGAAGGAGAAGGCAGCCCAGGTTAAAAAAAAAAAAAAAAAAAAAGTCATGATAAAGCGCAACAGCGCCACCTCATGCCCGACCTCATAGCAGCAGCTTTCGTCGGTGCTCGCAATAGTCCGGGTTCGAGGAGAATTTGAGCTTGATGAGTCCTCTCCTGGGATAATCTCCACCTCAAGCCTTTGCTGGGAAATCGCGAAGGAATAAGTGGAAACAAAACTGTCATTAGTAGGTAATCGGTCATTAGCACATACTGTCTAAATACATTCTGGGCTCTCTTCTAGGGACGTAGCATAAACAGAAGTAGTTCTATTACCTGCCCACGTGGCATTTATAATCACAGGAAAACACTGAAGAAAATACACAGCTGAAGTAATTCCAAATTGGATACTAACACTTAATACAAGTTCTGGTAAAGAAACGCGGGTCACAGATAACTGAAGTAGGGGACCAGTTTGTTGAGGACCGATAGCATATCAAACAGAAAGGAGTACCTGAACAGAAAGAAGGTAGGGGCAATGTAATATGGGTACAATAAATTTACACACTGAGGTTCTTTAGTTCTCTAGAGGCTTCTCTCTTTTTTTTTTTTTTTTTTTTTTTGGACAGAGAGAGACAGAGCATGAACCGGGGAGGGGCAGAGAGAGAGGGAGACACAGAATCGGAAACAGGCTCCAGGCTCTGAGCCATCAGCCCAGAGCCTGACGCGGGGCTCGAACTCACGGACCGCGAGATCGTGACCTGGCTGAAGTCGGACGCTTAACCGACTGCGCCACCCAGGCGCCCCCTCTAGAGGCTTCTCTGCTGCAGGTGAGCTCTCTGAGGGGCGCCTGGGTGGCTCAGTCGGTTGGGTGTCTGACTTTGGCTCAGGTCATGATCTCACGGTCTGTGGGTTGGAGCCCCGGGTCGGGCTCTGTGCAGACAGCTCAGAGCCTTGGAGCCTGCTTCAGATTCTGTGTCTCCCTCTCTCTCTGCTCCTCTCCTTATCACATTCTCTCACTCTCTCTTGCTCTCTCTCTCTCTCTCTCTCTCTCTCTCATAAATAAATAAACATTAAAAAAAGAAAAAGAAAGAAAATATATTTGAGGGGCACCTTGGTGGCTCAGTAGATTAAGCATCAGACTCTTGATTTTGGCTCAGGTCATGATCTCATGGTTCCTGAGTTCTAGCTGTTGAGTTCTGTGCTGACTGCAGATCCTGCTTGGGATTCTCTGTCTCCCTCTCTCTCTGGCCCTTCCTTGCTCATGCTGTCTCTGTCTCAAAGAAAGAAAGAAAGAAAGAGAAAGAAAGAGAAAGAAAATACACTTGAAAGTACTCAAAAATCAAGAGCACTATATAAATATTAACTAATATTATCCGAAAGTATTAATAACAATCTAGATTTTTATTAACCTCTACTTGTGCAAGCTCTGATGGGTTGTACATTTGTTGTTGTTGTTGTTGTTGTTTTAAATTTTATGTTATTTCAGTCCCCTTCATGCAAAACATTAATAATAATCCTGAATCAAATCTCCAACTTACACTTTTCTGGCTGTATTATTGAGACATGGTCAACTACAAGTTGATTAAAAAAAATGAGGGGTGCTTGGGTGGCTCAGTCAGTTAAGCATCTGACTTTGACTCAGATCATGATCCTGTGGTTCATGAGTTCAAGTCCCACACCAGGTGAACACAAGCCCTGCTTCAAGGAAAAAAATACATGAGCCCCGCTTCAGGTGAGCTCCGCCTGTCTCTCTCTCTCTCTCTCTCTCTCTCTCTCTCTCTCCCTGCCCCTAGCTCACTTGTGCCCTTTAAATAAATAAATAAATATTTAAAAATTTCTACGTACCTTAAGAGCCCCGTGGCTGGCTCAATCAGTATAATGTGCAACTCTTGATCTTGGAGTTGTGAGTTCAAGCTCTACATGGGGTGTATAGCCTACTTAAAAAAAAAAAAAAAATATATATATATATATATATACACACACATACATATATATACAGTGAGGTATATATCATATGCATATACATGTATATACATATATCAGTGAGGTACATAGAAATATATATATATGTTTATAAATATATATTGAGCTCTGTGCTGACTGCATATATATTTATAATATATATATATATATATATTTCTATGTACCTCACTGATAACAGTAAAAGAACAGGGTTTTAAGATGTGCCATTAAATAATTTTCTAAAGATTGACCCCAATTAGCTGATAACACTCTCTGGATATGATTTTCCAAAAAGCTACCGGTCTCTCTAAGAAGCTTCAAGTTTAGCGTACCAAATCCACTTAACTGTGCAAATTTTAAGCTGGGAAATGCTGCGTTGAGGCTTATCACTCTTTCTACCCCATTCCAGCTCAACAGATGGCACCAAGGACAGTCCTACCTATACATCTCTATCATTCCTCTTTCCCCTTTTCCACTGAGTTCACACCCTCTTCTCTTGCCTGAATCTCTGTAAGTCCTCTAACGAGTCTCCAACCCTCAGCCTCACCACCCTCTCATCTTTCGTATTGCTCCCAGAATGATTTCTCCAACAAGCAACTTTTGCCATGGAACACCTCTTCCCATCTGGAATCTTGACACTATTGAAGAATGAAATCTCTTACTGATTACACATCTCCGTAAACACCTTCTTTCTTCCTCAGCCTCAATATCCTTCAGTCATACTGTTCACATTCCCTTTCCCTACCATAAGAAAAAATAAATGAGAAGTACTACGTCCTCTGACGCCACAATCATTTGCACGCTCTGGTCCCTATGCCTGCACTGCCCTTCCTCTCCTAACATTTCTAATAATTCTTCCTGGTTCTTTAGGATTCAGCTCACCTCTGAGAAGTGTTCCCAACCTTCACTTCGAATCCTCTCCTACACAGACTGTCCTTCTCCATCTTCTTAGCACCCAGAATGCCTCTCATTGGTAGAAGTTTCTTTATTTCTTCTATTAGGCTATATTCTCCCTGAGAGCAGACACCACAATTTATCACTATATCTAGACCCTAGCAAAATATCTGGCACAGGTTTATCGAATAGGGGAAGCAGATCAGAAGAAGTAACGGTCTTAAACTCAAGTCTCAACATACTTTGAGACTCATCATCTTCTTTGATCCCTAGAACAGCTTTATGGGGCAGAGAAAATGGATACTGTGAAGAACACGTATTTCTTTTTTTTTTTTTTTAGTTTATTTATTTATTATTAGTTTATTTATTTATTTATTAGTTTATTTATTTATTTATTTAGTTTATTTATTTATTTTGAGAGACAGAGCATGAGTCAGGGAGGAGCAGAGAGAGAGAGAGAATCCCAAGCAGGCTCTGCACCGTCAGCACGAATTCCAATTTGGGGCTCGAACCCATGAACAGTGAGATCATGACCTGAGCCAAAGTCGGACGCATACCTGACTGAGCCACCCAGGTGCCTCAAACGTGTATTTCTTTACTGTAGAGTAATTGAGACTCGGTAATCGTGGCTCCTCCATGGTTACAGAAAGTCAGCTTCCGAGTCAGGATCCGAACCAAGATCTCTTTCCAAGTTAAATGCTTTATTAAGTACATACTTGTACTTAAATATCTGAAAATTAATAATAAAACTCAACTTTAGGGGCACCTGGGTGGCTCAGTCAAGGGTCTGACTTTTGCTCAGGTCATGATCTCACCATTCATGGGTTTGAGCCCCACTTCGGGCTCTGTGCTGACAGCTCAGAACCTGAAGCCTGCTTCGGATTCTGTGTCTCCCTCGCTCTCTGCCCCTCCCCCACTCGCACTCTGTCTCCCTCAAAAATAAAATAAACATTAAAAAACTCAACTTTAAAATATATATAAATATCTAAAGTCTCTAAGAAGTGATGAAGAAATGCATTGAGATTAGGAAACCCAAATCCTGTTAAGGACTCATTTATGTTATACCAATGCAGTGGTCTAAGTAGAGTAGAGAAAAGGAAAAACCAACGAGTGAAATTTGTCAAGTGCGTTCAGCATCACCTAGGGGAAAATATGCCTTGATCAGATGATGTGAACATGTTGTTACTGTTACATCATGCAAGATCCACAGTAGCTCTCTGACTGCACCTCCCCGGCTTCCTACTTTCAAAAACTCTAAACATGTTCCCAGACCAGTGTCCTTGCCATTTACTGCTTCTAGAACGTTCCAGATTTTTGCACAGCTGATCACCTCACTTCCTTCGGTTCTCTGTTCACATGTCATCTGGTCAGTGAAGGCTTTCATGACCATTCCACGCACTCCATTTTGGTACCTCTATCCCCCTTGCCATTTCCCCCTCTTAGGACTTCGCAGCCCCACACGTACTAAAACATCATGTATTTATCATCTCTCTTCCTTAATTACATAAGGCCAGAATTTTATTCTTTGCACAGATGTATCCCCAGACACATAGTAGTCACATAGTAGTCACTCGATAAGTATTCATCCATCATGAAATAGATGAATGGATGAACCAACATTCCATGGGTTATATTTTCTTCTGGTTTGAATATTTATCGTGGTTGTACATGTTTTTGAAGCAAATGATTTAATTCTTCTCATAGATTCAGTGCACCCTATAACTATCTGTGTTTCCATCTTAGAACCGTAGTTGCTACAAATCTTAGAACCAAATTCATTGTCTGCCCTATTATGTATATGATTTCATGGCTAACGTATTCAATTCGGCTTCAGCCTTGACTCGAACCTCATCCGTCCTTCACCTCGTTCTCTTGTCAATGTTTCACTGATCTGATCTTTTTGTGTCATATATCATCGTAATTCATCTTAGAATAGGGAGGAGAAAAATATCACTAAGCCTAGGGAAGTTTTTAGGTTTAGATTATTAAAATGTCATTTGTAACAAATCAT